AACGGTTTCTAATGGTCCTTTTTCAACAGGGTATAGTTTAATTATTTAAGTACAAATAATATCAGTGCTTTCAGTGTGTTTTTACACTGTGTTATCATAGCTAGTTGAGTTGGAAACATCAATAATGAATTTGCAGCCATGCTAACATTGGCTCAAATGCACACTAAGACTTTTCACACACATGAAAAACACATATCATTTGACCCTTGACAAAACCTTTGTGACAAAAAACTGTTTGTGGGAGAAGCTTGATTAGATTAATTAAAGTGTGGACCCACTTGCACTTTTACGCTCTCCATGCTTACTGCCAGTGTTTTAAAAGAACAGCCTTAAACTGTTTATAGCAAGTGCTAAAATAGTGTAATGCCTCCTAAACCATCACATTCAGCAAGCTCTTTCACAGCAGCTCCTGTCTAATAATATCTACATTTCTGTGTGACTTCTGGAGTGAAGTCTGAATCCAGTCCAATACCTCTGCAAATGAGAAGTGCAAGCCTGATTGGCTGCCCACATAATTATGCAAATAAAGAAGGCAATAAATCCCGCCTCATCAGGCTCTTAATTATTTGATTTGTTGGAAGAAAATGACTGTAATTCTAGCTAGGAAGTTGCACACTGCATCAAAAAACGAATAAAAGGATTCAGATGCCTTGCACAATACTACAGATGTAAATGTGGTGTCTGATTTTTGATATGCATCTGTACAGATCCACCTTTACAGCAAGGTAACAATAATACATCTCTACAACAAGAACAACAAAACGTCTCATTGGTACAAAGGGTTGATTTCACGACACGTCATGTTTAGGTGTGTATGTGGCCCCCTGCACTCGAACAGTTGTTTAAATAATACACACACACACACACATTATCTAAGCCGCTTATCCTCCTGGGTCGCAGCGGTCACTGGGCAGAAAGCTAAATAAAATAAAATAAGAAGCTTTTTTTTTTAAGACCTCAAAAGTGATATTAAACAATACTTGTAGTTTAAAATATAGCATTTGTGTTTGTCCATTTCCAGCAACACTGGACTGCTGTTTATTTTTTTTATGAATATAAACGAAATTATTCTTATTGTTTGATATCCTATTGTGTCTACATCTTAACAATTTTTTGTGTATTGTGTAGGATTTGAAGATTTTTCTGTAGGATTTAAAGATTTCTGTGTAGGATTTGTAGATTTTTGCATAAGATTTAACATTTTTTTGTAGGATTCATAAATGTTTGCATAGCATTTGAAGATTTTTGCAAAGGACTTGAACATTTTTGTGTAGGATCTGTAGATTTTTGTGTAGAATTTGAATCTCCTCTCTTTTTCTGTCAAGCCATACTGAGTCATAATGCAAAAACAGTACACACAAAGATCGGTAAACGCTAACATCCCATTTGAATGGCAGCAACAATATCTCTTGAGTAAATAATGACTGAAAACGGGCCTAAAAAATAAAACATTTGTTCATTTATTTCAGTCATTTGGTTATTTATTCATTTTCAATGGATATTTGTTCATCAGATATTTGCATCTGCATCAGATTATCTCAAGGATTTGATTACCATCTAGCCTTATAGTCTGAAGCCCCCCAAGGCCTCTTGCAGTCAGAGGCCCTTATGTCCTGGTCAGTAATCCACAAAAACTGAGGGTCCTGAGACTGTCCAATTTTCCTACAGTAGAGTTCATTTTGTGGACTTGTTGCTCCAAAACCAGTTGACCAATGGACATTAAAGGTGAATATCACCTTCAAAGGCCCATTCAGCCATAAAATGTGCCAAAACAAAATAAGAAAGGGAGAAGAGCAAAGGAAGAATTCTACATGAAAAATACAAAAGGAAAATGTTTGCCAAGAACCTGATGACTGCAAAGAAAAGTCTTACATCTGATAAAATTGTATGTAAAGCTACATATCTGGGCAGTAAGCAGTCATGTCTAAAAAAACAACTATCATTGCAATAAATACTAATAAACAAATAAACAATACATTATGATTTGATGTGTGTGAGTGTGTTAGCTTTTAACCATTTCTAAAGCTCTTCTCAAGAAAACCCAGTATTTATAGTTACCATCCAATACCTGCTTCAGCCAATCAGTAGTCTGAACGCAGAGATAGACCTAGGCATTTAGTTCAGGCCATAAAACAAAAAGCTAACAGTGATTCACATGAATATTTTTTGCTATTCTAGATTAACTTTGTACATTTGAAACTTGTAATAGACATGTGAAAAATATTTTACCTTGTAGCAGTTTTGACTCCTGCTTTGGTCAAACTACTGCTCGTATTCAAAGCCAGTGGCGCATCTAGGACTTACAGAATTTATCCAAGAGGGTAAATAGCTCAGCTGTATCTACCTAGACACCATAAAGAAAAAAAAGTATGATTGGGCAATTTTTTGTTTTTAACCCTTTTGTTTGCAACCTAAATTCAAGCTACTCTATGTTAGTTTTTGTTGTTGAGATTGAAAGAAGTAGCATCACTGAGTCAGGAATGAAAACAAAACATGCTGAAAAGTATGATGTGCGTGCACTGCTGCGAGTCACCCTGTAAAACCTAACGATAATAATTTAAATGTAAAAGACATCGGGTCAGATTTTGTGAGAGTTTTAGGACCACGTCATAGATCTTTACTTCTTTTAACATGGCACACACTGGCTAATAAAAAGGAGGTTGCATGCAATTACACATTTCCACCAGAGAGGCCTCCAAATCGCCAAAATTTACATAGTGTAGCTCAATCAATGAAATAAGAGTATTATAACAATAGTTCCAGAGTTTAAATACACAACTAGCACGATGAGTAGAAAAAATAACAGGTATGCATTTTTTTATTTCACACAGAAATCATTAGACTCTCTCTGAAGACCTAGAAGGCCCTGCAGGTTCCCCAATGCATAAATGACATCCTAATAGATAAGCAATAAACAGACCTGACCATATGATGCAACTCTGATGTTTACATTTTGAATGTAGCTTGAAGGGTGAATTTAAGCTCAGATATGTGTATTCAACTTGTGTATGTGTTACAGCAGATCCTTTTCTGTTGTTTTTATCATCTTATACTTGCCATTGTCATAGTGGAGATCACCAAGCTATTGCTCAAGTCCTGAAACTTTTTCAAGGCAGGGCTTGGGTTAGGGGGATGAAACCTGCCTTTGTTCAGGGAGAACAGAGGGAACTTCAGACACGAATGCTTCAGGGGAATATGCGTTTCATGCTGTTAAGTATTATATGAATCACACTGGGTGAGTGCGTGTGCTTAATTTCCAAAATAAAAGTAGCCTGCAAGACAGGCTGAAGTGCCATAATTATATCTGGCAGACTTTAAACAGCAATATGGCAGTGATGTAATGGGCAGGTTTACCTGTGTGTCATATGTGTGTGTGTGTGGGCCGTCTGGCAGGCTGCTGGGAATCTGACCTTTGAGCAGCCAGGTGGAATACATGTTGAAACACTTTAATGAACGGAGCTGTGGGACCACAACATCCAAAGAGGGCTCCATTGCCCTGTACATTATGACACTGTGTATCTGCACTACACTTACCCAAGACTAATTAACACTAAGAGACAGAAGATGCATACATCTATCCAACTTATCCACACTATTATTTGGGTAATGTTATCTGCTACAGTAGTACTTTTAATCTTTATTGGATCCTGTTTATTGCTTAGACGTAGGAACTGCTGTCGATGACCTCACTGAATATGATTCACACAGTTTTTTGCACCTTACCTACTTTTTTCAAACCAACCAGGTAGAATTACTAACTACTTACTAATAAAGGTTGGAAGTAACAAGTTTAATTTGTGAAGTTAAAGGGAAATTCTGGCCCAAAACTAGCATTTAATATGTTACTTGTCATGTTATGCAGTATTCTGTAGTGCAGCATTGCATCTCTCAGCCTCATCAGTTTGACAGAAATCATGATTTTGTGTTTTCCTCCTCCAGCGTTCTCTCACTACAACACCCAGAATGCATTATGCAAATACATCAAACAACCCCCCCCCCCAAGGGTAATAAAGAAATCCTGACTGATGTAGAGGCTGATGAATACATATATGATAGTTAGCTTTCTAGCAGTAATGCTAACCATCTGGCTTCCTTCTGCATTAGCAAGCTAGCAGAATAAAAAAATCAAACACTGTCACGTCTTCACCCCAAAGCCCTTGCAGTTTTTCAAAAGCACCTCCCACCCTCAAAATACATCATGCACATTTTTGAATAATATCTTTTCTTTTGCTCAAGTATATTTGTGAGGAAAGGAATCTACATCATTCACATTTTGTTCTCATTTTTTATTTATTTATTTTTCTTTACTTTTTTAATCTTTAAAATTAAAAAAAAACATAAAAATGAATTCTGTTCTCTTGGTTCAGCACATGCACAGCTTAGCTTTTTTTTTGCACACCTCTCACACTCTAGCTTTAGCATTTTATTTTAGACCAAAATAAAAACAGTGAATAGTTCCCAGCAAACTTCATTCGTGTTATGAGAGATGCTCTGTTCAATACTTGGGGAGTTTTATGAACCAGATATTCTTGTATTTCTACTCAAGCTACTTTTAATTCTACTTGAGGCGATCTGTAACTGAAGTAACTTTACCCCACAATGCACAAGCTTATTTCTTTTTCTATAGTGTATAGCACTAGGATATATGTCTTATGAAAAAATAAAACACTAGTCACTCTCATGCTAAAATAAATATATTCGCAACCTAAATAAATCTAAAAACATGTTGGAACCAGTCTGCGTAATTTAACAATGACAAAAGTCCGCCCTCCTTACGAGCAGCTGTTTTCCAATTACACATCCCGTAGGATCAGCGTAGTTCATCATGGCGCTACTATTTTCCCCCACCCGTATTCCGAAAAATCCCGCCCCTTCTGTAGTCTGATTGGCTGATAGTATTCGCGTCCTGTACTAGGATTGGCTAGTTGTTCATACTCATAAACAGTTTGCCGCTAGAACGCAGGAGGGCGGGGCTTGTCGGAAAATTGGTGGGGAAAAAATCAACGCGGGGTCTCGGTTCTCCTGCTTTTTCTCGCCAGTTGATGAAGCTTGCTCACTTGGGTCGTGTCTCTGGTTCGAAGACCGAAGTAAACCGCTTCGTTTTCGATCGTAAAGGCACCGAAGAGAGCATGTAAACTAAAACTGTGCCTAGAAATAAGCAACAGAGGTTTCAGGGTCTAATTTCCGAACGAGTTTCCTACAGTTTTGAAGCGACTGAACTCGGGAAGAAACTGTTTTCTGGGAAAGGAGTAACTGGAGCGAAGGCCGTGTTCAAGGTAACGTTACCGTTAACGTTAGCATTTTCGTAAAAAAGCTTTACAGCAACATCAGCCAGCAACACCTCGACTCAGCTTTACTCAGGATTATCATAACTTTTCCGGCAGTTTTAGCGCGAGGCTGTCGTTATGCTGACTTAAAGAAAACAAACGTTTCGAGTCATGTAGAGGTGCTGTGGCGACGTTTCTCACAAACGGTCGAGCTGAAAATTTTACGTTACATTTCAAGTGTTTTTTGGCTCATGTTAGCCTGTTTTTGCGGATTGTGTGGCTGTTTCTTTGTTTTTGTTTTTTTGAGGAAGCTTGTTTTGTTTCACAGTCAATTGACTTAAGTTAGCTGACTAACGTTAACAACGTAGCCTCGAAAACAGTGTTAGTTGCTAATGATAGCCCAGAAACACTGGTTTATAACGCCGGCTACATATTACCGCAGCTAGCCTGCTTATTACCCACTTGTGCTTCTTTCGGATATCAGCGGCAGGTTTATAGCTAATGTACAGTGATCTAAGTTGCATGTAAACGATTCAAAGAAGTACAGCGCCAGAAGCTTTATCAGTTCTTAACATGAATTGTGATTTAGTGAGTCAGTGGGACTCTGCAGTGACTCCAAGTTAGCCTTTCTTTCGCGGTTTGATGAGAAATGTTGCGTACAGTCGAGTCTGAAAGTCTGCGTCCTCAACCAGAAGCTGTTTTTGTGTCAGTTTATACAAACTAATACAAAATGTTAATTTGTACACGGTTATTTAAATCGAGAGAGCGATTTAATACTGTGGCAATTTTGCGAAATCGAGCTGTTTTCGAAATAGTTTTCAGTCAGCACTCCTAAACCTGATTGAATATACAGTTAATGTTTTAAATAAGGAGAAGGAACAAAACATACCGTGACATCTTAAAGGGGAGTTCAACCAATATGTTGAAATTTTTGCAGAATTCCGTCGTTGCGAGTCATTCAGGGTGATTAGATGTAAAACGATTTGTTGTGGAGAAAGCGACTGACTCAGATTTGGTGGTGATAGAAATCAGGGGTCGTGATGTCTGTTACATACATACATAGAAATTTTAACATCCAAACCGCCAGCGAACTTTCACGTGTCAAGTTTTTACAGTTATGTCTGTGATGGTGGGAAAAAAAGCCTTTTGGGGGACTGTTTTGCCTTACAACGCCCTACATGTATCCTTCCGCCATTGATGGATTAAAATTTAATGGATTAACAAGACGTTTTAACAAAGAAGTTTTATGCCAAAAGTTTATCACAGAACTATCGTAAAACAGTGTCGCAGGCAGCAGGCAGCGTATTCACAACCATTTTGTGTAATAATGTTTTGTGAGGGAGCTTTTAGAGGCATTGAACTCTTCAGATGTCTGGTTCCTATCACCACCACTGTGAACAGTTCTACTTCACTAAGTTTCTCTAGAGCGAAGCATTTTGCATCAAACCATTCTGAATGACATTGTTTATATCCTAACCATTAAAGTATATAGAAATTTTGTAAATTTCATGGAGTCTCCCTTTAACATACTTTTTGAGCTTTTGGTTAGAAAGCTGGAGCTGGAGTGCATATTCTAGTTCTACACAAATTTGAAGCCATATTTCAGTGGGACACACCAGGTTTTCATAACTCAGGAGACTAAAGCAGTTCCTGTTAGTGAACTCTGTTAGCGAAATGTTTGAAATCTTTTAAAATGTAGGCTATGCGCCAGACTCTTCATCTGAGATGTTGCTTTAGTAATTAGCTTTAGTAGTTCAGGCACGTAGACTCGCCACTTGAACAGGGTGAGTGTGATGATAAAAGCTGTGCCAGCTCATTTCAGTGTGTTCATTTCTATGACCAGACGGTGTGAAGTTCGCTGTCTGCCGTTTTTTTTTTTGTTGTTGTCTGATGGCAGTGCTTTATTACATGTTACATTACCCGGTTCCTTGTTCTTTGTGGGTGTAGTGTATGTTTTTAGTGCAGCATGCTTGTTTGTTTCTCCTTGTTGGCTGAAACTTGAGTCTTTGCTGTATTGCATTCATTCTTGCTGATCGCTGTGATATTACTGTGAACACTGCATGTCCGAAAGTTTGTAGACACCTACTTATTCAACGTTTCTCACTAAATCAATTGTGTTCGCCCCCCTTTGCTGCAGTAACATCATCCACAGTTTTGAGAAGTTTGGAGCATTTGCTGTGAGGATTTGATAGCATTCAACCTCAGGAACATTTGTGATGTAAGGTACTAGTTAATTTTGGATTACAACAACTCCAGCCCATCCCAAACGTATGCAGTGGTGCATCATCACTGCAGAAAACAGTGGCACTGCTCAACAGCCCTGTGCTGGGGGGCTTTATACCTCTCTAGCTGACACTTTGCTTTGAGCTCGGTGACCTTAGGCTCATATCCCTGAGCATCCCATCCTTTTCGCACTGCTTTTCTATGAGGAAAAGCTGTGTGTGGCCAACTCACCACCTGTGTCAGCAATGGGTGAACCTTAAAGTAGCTGAACTCACGAATTAGAAGGGGAGTCTGAATACTTTTGGACATACAGTGTACTTAATTCTGAGTATGACCTACATCAGTGGTTCCCAGTCCTGGCCCTGGAGAAACTTCTGCAGTTTTTGATGTTTTCCCTGTGCATACCCACCTGATCCAACTAATTTAGTTAATGAACAAATCTTTCCTGAGTTTAAGTTGGGAATGTTAAAGGAATCATTTGAGAATTTTTCAGTCTGATCTTTGTCTGCCACAGTTGTAGCACACAGTTACCATGAACAGTAATCTTGACATGTTTCCTGGTACCTTGAGAGTGTTTGTGTGTGCAAGCATACAGATGCAGAAGATGGAGATTAAGATGAAAAGCACAAAAGTGTTCTTGAAAGGGGAACACAGGACATGGTTACTTTAGGAATAGGGCTGGGAATAACTGGGCTATATTAAGCTCTTTACAGTCACCTTTTTTTTTGCATGATGTTGGGCATCTTCCTCACATGTAGTATTGACACTGTGCTCTGTCTCCCTGCAGTGGCTGCTGGTAACGTGACCATGAGCGCGGCATGGGAGTGACGTGACAGCAGGGGTGGATCTTGGCGCTCTTTCTTTCTGTCTCTCTCACACACGCGCACACAAGCACACTATGCCTCTCTCTGCTCCGAGAGACAGAACTGAGTGAGCGAGTGAGCACGTGGAGAGGGACAGCACGGGTGCCAGAATGGACGAGTCGGCTCTCCTGGACCTCCTGGAGTGTCCAGTATGCTTGGAGCGGCTGGATGCTACGGCCAAGGTGCTGCCGTGCCAGCACACATTCTGCCGCCGCTGCCTGCTTGGCATTGTGAGCTCTCGTGGGGAGCTGCGTTGCCCAGAGTGCCGCACACTCGTGGAGAGCGGCGTGGATGAGTTGCCTAGCAACATCCTGCTGGTGCGTCTGCTGGACGGCATCAAGCAGAGACCCAGGCGGGCTGGGACAGTACCGGCAGCGGCGGCAGCAGCTGTGACAGTAGCCGCAGGCTGTACCAATGGCACGGCGGGTGGGGGAGTGAGGAGCCAGGGGCCCAGTGGAGGAGGACAGAGGGAGCAAGCAAACCCAGGAGCGCAGCCCCAGAGAGTCCAGACCAAGAGCACTCCAGTCAGAGTGAGCTGCTGTTTTATTGTTTTGTTTTGTTTTTGTGTTTTTTTTGTTTTTTTTCTTTCTAGCTGTGTTCGCTAACATAGTGGCACTTTTAAAACTAAAGTTTGTTTCATAGTTCAGTCTGTGTGAGGTAGTGCTGACCGTCTATACAGATATTTTGGTGTCGTGGGACAATATTGATTTTAGTTTTAGTATTGCTAGACAACAAAATTGAGCTAACTGCAATCTTTATTTGCTGAATACATAACTTACTTAAAATACACAAGAACTCAAGTTCCCTTTCTGAAAATGGAGGTTTTTATCTGGTTAATGTTTACTAAAGTGCATAAGTCCTTTGGGTGCAATTGTAATAGAAGGAAACAGCAAAATGGTCTGTGTCTTGTAAAATGCTCAGGAAGCATGGATTCTAATTTTACTAAGGCAGATATTACAAACCAACACCAAAACCATGATTTTGATATTCAGTTTGATCAACACTGCCCAGTACTAGTGTAAGTCTTAGTGAGTCTGGCACTTTGGGTGCCACCTGTCTGTAAATTCCTGGGAGTTTGTAGTGGAGTATAGGAGAGTCCATTTGCTGTCTGTGCAGAGTTTGATGGGCTGGAATGAAAGCTGTGTGGGTGAGAGAATCTTGTTAGTACAGGGCATTGTGTAACTCCCAAATTGACCAGCGCAGCTGAGCTAAGCTGTCTTCACTGGCAACAGAACATAGCAGTAACTGGCTCTTATCCCTGGTGTGTATGCACATGTAATCAGAGACAAAAGAAAAGTGTATACACGGAGATACTGCTGTTCGTGCAGGTACACAAAAAGTATGTGTGTTTGTGTGCACTGCCATTGTGAGTTTGAGGCGAGATGTTTTGCTTATGTGGCGATAGTTGTCATGGCAGCAGTTTGTTGTGTTTTTGTTTTTCTTCCTTCTTTAGTCTGAATCAGGGCCCAAACACAGGTGTCTCTGTAATCAACGCTTCCATTTCTGTTCCTGTTACCTTTTTAGAGTCATTGGCTCTTTTGTTCAGAGCTCATGAAGCAGGTCATATTCAGTCAGACAGCTTCAATGTAGAGTCTTTTCTTCTCTAACCATCTATTAAGTGTTGGGTTACTGTTAGATTGGCACTTGCGGATTTAGTGTTCAGCTGAACAGGTTAGTATACAATAGCCATGTGACATCCACCTAATTTTTTTCCCTTGAATGTACAATTAGTATCTTTCTCAGTGCAGTCTTTATTTGTTGTTGTTTTGAAACTGAGAAAGCAAGGTGCTGCCTGGAGATGTCTAATTCTGTGCCCCTGCTCCACAGATGAATAACAAATGTTACATCAATATTAGAGGTGGCACAATACCACTTTTTCTTGTCCAATACCATTATTGGCATCTTGAATATCAACTAATACAATTAGATTTTTTTTTTTTTTTCAAAAACTGTTGATTTAAAACGAGCTATTTCTAATTGACACTCTTCATTTAAGGTAAAAATAGGCTATCATGCTCAAACACTATCCAACAGGAGAAAAAGCATAGCTGACAACATGACATCACGCAGTGTGTGAGTGCGCTATTTCAGGGTACAATTGTTTCAGCATTGGAAGCAGATTCATTCTTTTTTCCTTCCGATATCCAGCTTTCCTTCTGATATGGATCTGATACCTATCCGCTGTCACTATTATGCCCTCTTTCTTCAGTGGCGAAAATATTTAAAACCACAGCAATTATGTCGCGCTATGAGCACAAGTGTCAGCCTTAAATTAGACTTGCATTGTTATTATTTGACTGTCAGAACAATGTGTCTGCCAGCATTTGTCCTCTACTAATAAAACTCAGCTGAGGTGTGCACCGATCAGCTGTTCTGCTTTTTCATCTGCTTTAAAAACCTCTTCTCTGTTCTTTTGTTCAAACAGGGCCAGAAATGCTTCTCAGCATGCTCTGTCAGTGCCACACTGGCAGTTTTTAAAAAAATGGTCTTATTTTCTTTCCCTTGGATCTGTTTATGAGAGCATATCGGCATGTGGCCTGTTTGCAGCAGGTCTCTTTGTAACACAGCTGCGTGTTAAGGAGCTATGGGGCCTCAGGTATGTGCCTGAGAGATGCCGATAACACAGCGCTGTGCTACAGGCCCTTTCATTTTGCTTTTTTCGTGCTCTGATATGTGATATGTATTGGTTAGAATGCGCTCACCTCAGCCTGCGACAAACAGTGGTACTGGCTCCCAAAATTTATAGATACCACTAAGCTGAGTGAAAGAGTGATCCCACGTTTCTAGTCTTAGCTTCCATGTTGAAGGCTGTGCAGGGAGGTGTACCTGTTGTGGTTTAAACAGCTCTCACCTGCCTGCACTGTGTCAAGTTCTGGTGGGCAAGTGCAAAGAGATTATAGCATTAATGCTCATGGGTACCAGCATGTCCTTTGATCTCTCAGCTTTTCATCTGTTCTCTGATTCATCCTGCATGCCCTTGCACACCACCACCATGTTTTGCTCTCTCATAACATCATGGTGGAGAGGAGGCATGGTCGGACAAGTATAGTAGTGCAGGGTAGTATTGATAAGGTTCATTATCATAATATTTTTCATTAATAAAGTAAACGGACTCATACTTCCTGAGTATTGTTACGGTAGTACATTTACATGCTGTTGTTGATTTGGGGGGAAAAAGTGTTCCAAATTGTAGTAGAATTGGTAAACAGCAATGTTATGCTGCCATTGGTTGCATGCAGTCATGTACATAATGGCATGGTCATGGCAGTAGTGGTGAAACAGTGGCATTCCTGCTCATGTGCGTGCGATGGTGTTATCCACCATGCTGTCATACAAAGTGAACACAGACAAATGTTTGTCAGGGTGCTGCACCTTGTTTAGTGTAGACCAGTGGTTCCTGAACTGTGGCACGAGTACCTTCATGGGTATATCAAATGATGTAGGGGGTAATATTCTGACATTTGATGTATACACTTCATTTAATCTTTATTTCAAGACATTAGCTGACCGCACAGTTACACAGAAACAGAACACAAACAGCTCTGCACTTTAAGCCAGTGCCAGATTTTAGCATTGCATACTGGTGTGTATGCATGAGTAATGAGTGAGTGATATTTAACATTCAGCTCATGACAAACATATATGCTCTGATATTTTTCTCTTTATTATTATTTGTATAAAAGACTGTAGAGAAAAAGCGTGTCACTATGATTCCTGTTGCGTGTTTTGTGTTCTGGAGACACTAACTTTCAGTTTGTTCATTAGTTTATTGTCTGCTGTTGCATGAATGAAGTGAGTCTCTTGAACTAACTGTTAGTTGTGTTTGAGTTTGTTTCGCTGTCACAGATGCAGTTTAGTCCTCGGTTGTATTGAGATTGGTGCTTAGACGTTTTGGTTGTGTTATAGCTGGTTGAGCTTTCTCACAAATGCGTCTTTGTCCCTGGTGTAGACCAGTGAAAGGTTTTCTTTAGTTTGATCTGTTTTGACAGGAGGGAAAGTTCCACCAGTACTTAGTTGTGCATTAAACAAATTAAATGTGTGCTGCCAAAAAATGTTAGTGGGAAGCGTTTTAAAATGGTTTGCACAAAACGAGAGCATGACTTTCTCAAAACATGTCACAGGTGTACTGTCTGCATAACCTGTTTAACTTTTGAATCTTTTAAAGACGTATATTTCATTCTAGTAGCACAAGCTTCAGGTAATAACGGCAGATGAGCAATGGAGAAACATTTGTTGATGCACCATGGAACATTTTGACAGGCTGGGCCAGACAGTGGCCAGTGAATTCAAACTGACGCATAATTAAACCAGTCGATCATAAAGAAGCAGAATAAGTAGTAAGTAAGTAAGGTTTATATTTATTACTTTGATTGCAATACATGTAGATGTTAGGCATCTTTATTTTCATGGAACATAATGATCATGATAATACATTCTATCAAGAGTATATTTGAGGAATATATCTGGATTTTATAGTGTGATAGGCTAGAGAAAGTTAAAATAAAGTAGGTTGTTTGCTGGAGAAAGTAACAGGGCGCTTGCATGCCCACCAAATTACTGACAAATCAAAGAGCGCAAAGAACACCCACTTCTGCTATTGCAGTGTGAAAATACCAACCCAAAAAAAAGAGAGACACAAAGTTTGTAACAAAGTTTGGGTTTTGTTTACGTTACCGAGTACAACTTCAGCCATGAGTGTTCAGTATCTGTGTTTCCATAAAAACAAACTTCCAGTTTATTCTACCACTGCGGCTGATGGCAAAAATTGGGAAAAACTTGATGGAACTTGGTACTGCCACTACATTATGCTGCTGTTGCCATTGGTGGTGGCAGACATTTCCAGAAATGTGTTTTAGTATTTATTTAATTGTATACATTTTGAACTATTCTTTCAATCTGAACAGTCTGAAGCCCCTACCAAATTACATACATCATAGTTCATGTTTTGTTATCTATTAATACCAGTAAAACTAAAAATCACTGTTGCTGATTGGCACCAGTACCTGTACTGAAGATATTCGTTGCCCAGCACTTGGCTTATGGTGACAAGGAGCAGTAACGAGGAAGATGCCACACACGATGGACTGCTTCCCTAACACATGCAGCTGTCGGCCCCATGATGGGGCGGGGGAGACGTGAAGGGAATAGAAATAGGTGCTGAAGAGAGAGAGAGTGTAGAGGAGAAAGCAAAAGACTGAGGTGTCAGGAGCTGAAATGCCCCAAGGACCAAATGTCAGCCTGGCACTGTGACTCGCTCTACCACAGTTCGAAAAGCCACACTCAGCTAAAACAAGTCAGCAGGAGCGTATTATGCTCACAGAACCTGGAGGACCTCATTTTGTGTGTGTGTAAGAGACTGATTGACTGATCAGACATTTCTCAGGGGTCCCCTTTTGTTAGCGTGAAACAAAACTGGTCATTTAACTTTAACCGACTGTGTTTGTGTGTGGGGGGGCATGCACGTTATGACTTTGGTCAGTGCTGATAGGGATGCGCTGATGTGGAAATTGTTGCCCGTCGACTATATCTG